ATGGTCATCCTCTTACGCCTACAACTTATTGGACTAACTTTATATCCAAACCCTGCTCCACAATGTACTATCTTGTTTAAAAAATAAAATCAAGAACATCTGATTAGTAGTTCCAGAGTTTACCCTGTACAAAGATTTTCTTTTTACATTTATATATAAAGTTAGAAGATAACAGCAACGCACTATTCAAAACTTGTATTTACCTAAAAAATAATTACAAACTTAACTAGTACCTATATACATTAAAAGTGTATAGATTAACACATATAGGTTGTCAATTTTAAAACGCTACCATCTTCATACTTAGATACAAAAATAATACATTTCATATATTATTATACTATTAAATAATTTCTAGAGATAGTGACTGACATTAAATATTTTAGATGCTTATTTAATCTATAGAAATGTAAATTAATTGGTTAAAATCTATATAATTATGAATAATTTTAAATATTTTTCAATTTATAAAATATAAAAGTGATTTTGATGAAGTTAAATTCATATTTTTTTATATGTCAACCACCACCAACATCTTCTGTAAATGCAAAAAGGAAAAAATAATCATTATAGAATTCAAAAATATGAGCAAATTCTACTGAGAGTTTCTATTTAAATCAGTTGTCATATAAAAAGTATACAAAACAAGCCAAGTAAAAAATATTTWAATAAGCTATAGTAATTTTTATTTRATTAAATTTAATATAATAAACCATGACTGTCATMGGATCCATAGTGTTTGTATAAAATATACTAAATTATATTGTAATAACGAATCGATAATGATAATATAATGAAAAATAGTTAATAATAAATTCTGAATTTATAGTCTTCATTCTTGTCCTATGGTACTATAATAGCTTGCAAAATATATTATTATATAAATAAAAAAATAGAATATATAGCGTTCTATTATGATATTATAATATGTAGGTGTATGAGTCGTATATTTGTTTAATTTTAGGAAAATAGAACTTCAAATTCGTTTTAGAGTTTTAACGTTAAGACTGTTATTTTTTCTGAACAATAACAGTTGAACTCAATGCTAAATTATTTTTAGTGACCCATTAATTCGATATGCACATTGTTGATGGTCTTCATAGTTTAATGGTAAATTAAGAATTTAGATAGGTACCCACCAACAATAGATTTAAACTATTATTGGTCATAAAAATATTACCATACTCTTAAGATCACAAAAATTATCATTTGCATGACTCAAATAAAATTGTTCAAAACAAAAATTTAACTAAATTTTTTAATACGAAAAAATRGGTGATGATATTATACTATTATACATAATAATACATTAATACCTATAAACATACCTAATACAATTACATCTATGATTAAATTTTAAATGATATTAGTRTTAGTAATTTTAATATCAAGGGACTAAAGTGATGATGTTGGCGTTTAAACTTTGTCTCTTTTGGTGTCCTTTGAAATTGTGTATCCATATTTGGCAAATCCGATGATGGAGGATCTAGGAATAAAATTGGTTAAGATACAATATTTAATATTAGTAGGACTAGGTAAATTAATTCTGTTAGTCAATAAACATGAACTAATAGTTAATAAATGGAATCCCGTATTCTCGTATACCGTAAAAAGTAAGCCCATCTTAAAAATATTTAAAAGATAGCAATACATTGGTCCAAAAGTCTACTTTTTTGTTATAGGTTCTCACCGTACCTAAAATCTACATCGTTATAATTTATTCTCTAAGGCTTAATTATTCCATACAGTTTATTTTCGTGTTCATTTTTATAAATTATACMATCATATTTAATTATCTCTTTGATCATTAATGTATAATACGAGTAATATAATATATATTTTGAAAACAAGATATGAAGACTTATTATTTTAAAATACATTCAAAAACCAGAAATTTAGCATGCTCGGCGTAGTCGGCGAGAATTTCCMTAACTATTGTTTGATTATAAGAATTGTAAAATGCAAAATGTAACTTTTGTTATTTCATAGGTGGTGAATCAAATAAAAAACAAACACCCAGTCGAGTATCGTACAAGAAATTTCAAGTTATTAGAGTGTTACCGTCTGACGAGGATGAAGTGCTTGATATTGAAGCAATATCTGAAGAACCAGGAGTGCAAGTTTGGATGCCTATACGGTTGAATAAAACAGCAGATCTCGTATTGCCGCCTAGTGTAGCAAGAGACGTCAAACGATTTCTAACACAAAGAGAAATCAATTTCATTGTACTCAGTTCCAATCTAGAAGTATGTRTAAAACTTAATTATGAATTTTAAAATGACATGATTCAATAAATTGTWTGATGATTTGTAGAAAAATATTAAYAAACAGAATCCTAAATCACCGTCTATTAATCAAAAATCAGAATTAAAAGCAACAAAAGGGCATGTAATGACTTGGAATAGATATCATCGTTATCAAGGTAAAATAGCCATAAAACAATTAAAACCTGAGTGTATAGAAACAAGAATACCCAAGAAAGAAAAATATTATACACAATAAACGAGTGGAAAAAATATTGTTATTCTATATTTTTTAACATAAAACCAAACAGACAATTCCAGATCATAATATTTTTTCTATAGATATTAGTGTATTATCTATTAACGCGATTAAGTATAACCAATTTTCATTTTTTAAGTTTATTACATATTTATATTGTAAAAGACAAAAAACAAATTTTAAGTAGTTATATTTTTTAAGCTACTAAATAAGATAATATATTAATATTAACGATACCACTGATGAATAATTGAATATTTTCAGATATTCTTGACTACTTGATGTATTTGTCAGAAAACTATCCTCATTTGGTGGAACTGTTGCCTATTGGAAAAACTGTAGAAGATCGACCACTTAAAGTAGTAAAAATATCAAGTGGTAAAACTAGAGAAAACGTTGTCAAGCCTGCAATCTGGATTGATGCAGGTAAAATGCATTATAGAAGATGAATATATATTTTTTTTTTAATTTTAAGCTATTTATGATAATATATCATAGTACCTAGGTACTGGTTTTAAATTGTTTTTGATTCTCATAAGTTTATTGTTGAATTATTCTTAAAAATAACCAGATTACATCGGGCAGGTATGGTTTTAGATGCTGGATTTACGTTGATATGTTAAAACTTTATCCATGTTCAAAAAAATACATATACTTAAGTCAACACTCAACGTGTTTATAATTCCCGCTTATAAGTTTAAAAAC